CTGGAGGAGCTTAGGAAGAGAGCTGAAGCTGACAAGAATGACAAGTCTGTTAAAGATCTTGTCATGTTGTTGTTTGTGACAACTTTGTTGACTTCTGGATTCAATCTTGATCAACCAAACACGTTTGCATGTGCTAGGATTCACAAGATGTTGAAGTTGGGTCTGACATTGATGACTGATAAGAAGATTTCAAGCTTACAGGGGAGATTGTTGGATAAGCTTGAATTTAGACTTGAGAAATAAGTCTTTGTTTAAGAGATAATTATGTATATTTTAGGAGTTATCTAAAATATACTCCTAATCAAAGTAGGAATAGGTCTATGAGTTTTATGTATAAATATGAGTTACTAAAGTGTGGTAGACCATAAGAGATTGAGAGATTAGAGCTTTAGGTTTTGAGGAATTTTCCTAAAGAAATAAAGAGAGTTATTCTTTATATTTGAGTTCTTAATCTTTCTTTGAACACAAGAGGCCGCCCGCGGAAAAAAAAAAAGGCCGCTCTAGAAAAGTGTATACTTATAAAAAAATTTAACCATAAAAAAAAACAAAAAACAAAAAAAAAACCTTCTCTCAAGCTTCAGGTGATTCGAACTCATGACCTAAGATATGTGGTGTATGACATAATACCACTAGGCTACCAAAACACATTGGTATTTGAGGGCCGAAAATATTAATAACTTCTCGGAGGGCCGCAGCTCCCGCTTCTCTTGCTTCTATCCAGCTACGGCTCTGGTCGTGAGATTCTTTTTTGCTAAAACTTGGCTTTTGAAAACATTTCGTTATTTGTCGGTTTAGTTTTTAGGTATTTCACCAAACTTTTTAGGATAGATTTCAGATTGACAAAAAAATGCAAAACAAAGATGTCTATATTCATACGCGTATCAAGGAACGTATGTACGCGACGAGTATAAAGGAGAAATGGTTTGGAATTTGAATTGAGAGAATGAGGTTAGGTTGGTTGATGGTGATGGTGGCTATTGGTGTGGCAGGGTCCACATGTATATATAGTTGAACCCACGCCAGATTCGGTCATCTTGACTTGTGTGTACATAATATACGTATATGTGTACGACCCAAATATTTTTTATTAATCATCACCATTCATTTGCCATTGTGCTTTTTTCTTTTTTCTTTTTTAAAGTCATTTTGTTGTGAACTGTGTCCTCTCATTAATAGAATAAGGGATATATATACAATGATAATAGCAGGATACATAGAATAAGGTAAAACCCTAATGGGCCATGGGCCGGTTATGGAGTCCATCCATATGGTTTATAACACTCCCCCTTGGAAGACATAACCGTGCCCGATACTAAACCGGGATTTCTATAATGCGCTGGGGAATGTTGCCTCATTAAAACCTTACCAGGAAAACCCAGTGGGACAAAACCATGGTGAAGGAAAAAGAGTACAACACGCATTACTCCCCCTGATTTGAGCATCACTGTAGATCCTTAAGTCCGCGCATCCCGATCTGATGAATGAGCTTCCGGAACGTTGAAGTCGGCAATGATTTAGTGAATA